CAGGAATGTTTATTTGCTTTAAACAAAGATGCTTATGTGGTTTTTGTATTCATATCAGAAATTTACACTGTTTCCCAATGATTACTTCCTCATTCTTGTTTAATTACATAGTTACTCTGTGTACTTTCATGGGATTTATATATATATTTTCACTGATTTCAGAGAGGAAGGGAGAAAGAGGCTAGATGCTAGAAACATCAATGATGAGAGAGAATCATTGATAGGCTGCCTCCTGCACACACCCTGCCCCCACCCCCTCTCACCTCCATGGGTATTGAGCCTGCAACTTGGTCGTGTGCCCCTGACCAGAATCAAACCCAGGACCTTTCAGTCCTCAGGCCAATGTTCCATCCACTGAGCCAAACCAGCTAGGGCCTTTCATGGGATTCTTGAAACCTCTGCTCAGGATCATTCAGTCCAAGTCAGTTTACAGTGTAATCAAAACATCTCTTTTTCTTTTCTGAAACTAAGAGACAGAATGCAACACATGATCCAGGACTTACTTTTTTCCTATTAGCTTTTTATTTTAAAAATTTTATTTATTGGTTTTTGAGAGGAGGAGAGAGGGAAGGAGGGGGAGAGACAGAGAGAGAGAATGAGAGAGACTAAAACTTGTTCCACCCATCCATTCACTGGTTGACTCCTGTATGTGGCCCGACCTGGTGTATGGGGATGACACTGCAATCCAGTGAGCTACCCAGCCAGGGTGATCCAGGACTTTCTTTTGTTGTAAAGGACATCATTAGGACAATTGGCAAAATTTGAATGAAGAATGTGGACTAGTTATTAGTATTCTATCAATTTTCTGATGTTGGTAATTGTTCTATAGTATGTAAGAGAATGTGTTGAAGACATACACAGTGAAGTATTAAAAGGTACTGGTATATGCCCTAACCGGTTTGGCTCAGTGGATAGAGCGTCGGCCTGCGAACTGAAGGGTCCCAGGTTCGATTCCGGTCAAGGGCATGTACCTGTTGCAGACACATCCCCAATAGGGGGTGTGCAGGAGGCAGCTGATCGATGTTTCTCTTTCTCT